GTGTGTGTGTGAGTGAATGTGTGTCAAAGCACACAACATACTGTAGTTGTTCTTTCCAAGTCCCAGTCCACATTTTTCACTGAATGCCACAGGTCATTTTATCTTCAGGCTTCTCCCTCTAGGCAGCAGTTTCCACATGTATGTGGTTATTTAGAGATTGAGTAACTTGTCACATACACAGATCTTTAACGGCTAACAGTTCACCATTAATGCTGATTTTCCGACCTTAATGGCAGAAAATTACACTCATGGCTTCAATTCTTACTCACAAATGACAGCTTTTACAGCCTAACCTCTGGATATCCGCTCTTGTGGTGACATTTGGACACAACCAGTTCATGCTGTTAAAAGATACACACATGCAGACTCAGTAGTGCGCACACTCTGTTCCACTCTGTTTGCGAACAGCATGTCAGTTGTTGTATTTTTGCAAAGCTAAAACGTGAAAGGGCCCTATTAAAATTCCTTGGACTAATATTCCTGGGAATGCATTTCCAGAGTCGGGTTCCCTTGTGTGTAATTGTGTGTATACATCTGTGTGTGTTTGTGTGTGCACGCACTGTTGTGTGTGTGTGTGGAGTGGAGAGAGATATTTGGAATCAAAAGCGAGAGAGAAAGAGCGGGAGATAAGATGAGTGGGCTGAAATAAGGACTATGCAACAGAGAAAAAGAAGAAGTGAAAGAAAAGAGAGGCAAAAATGTAGAAGAGAGAGTAAGTAAGAGAGACTGAGTAAGAGGGAAGAGGAAATCTGTCATCCTCCAACAGCAGAATGCTGCAGCTGTTCCCTCTCAGCAATGTTGAAATCATTTTCCCATTCTGCTCAGTGTCTCTGCTGTATGAATAGTTTTGAGTAATGGCCACCACTAGGGATTCTGGGTGACGTAGCTGTCTTGGTTCGAGAGCCAATTTGGTGCAAGAAGGATTTGTAAATCCCAGTTCTCGGGGCCAAACAAGCTAACGAGTCGAGACTGAAATCCAAAAGCCCGGCCAAGGGAGAGATTGGAGAATTATTCACCATCAAGCTGAAACAGAGAGCTCTTTATACATGGCAGGGGGTGTGAAAGATTGAGTTAATTTTATGGCAGACAAAGATGTACTGTATGTTTAAGGTCAGGTCAGATACTTATTATTGTAATGTCAAACAACATAAACATGAACAATTTTGGAAACGTACTGAACATCAAGGAAATGTTCAAATGTAATGAAATACTGAATTTAAACCAATAAGGTAGTTCTCTGGCTATATAGAGAAAGGCCTGTCATCTCTTCATATTGTGTTTTTGCCTCAGTAACCATACACTCCAAACAACAACACGTCATTGGACTAAACCTCATAAAACCTGCACTTTACATTTGACAATTTGATGTGCATGTGGGAACTGCTACCTCTGTCACACTACAATATAACTGGAACGTTTCCCTTTGTCACCACTAGGTGTCACTCTATGTCCAGGCCACCCTGTTATGTGGTCGACTGGTCTGTGGCAGCTTCCTTAATGCAGCTATTTCTCGTTTCTCTAACTGTGTTAATGCTTTACTTTTGGTTATTTTATCCCAGTTTTATGCACATTTGTGGTGAATCAGACATGAATCTGTGACTACCGACATTACAAACATAAATCCAACAAATGACCAGACAACTGTTTTCAGCTTAACAGCTGAGGATTTATTTCAAATAAAAGATAAAATCATTTTGGAAGGCAGTGGTGGACTTTGGTATGTTTTTTTTTGTTTCAAGTACAGTTCTTAAGTATTGAGGTACTTTACTTAAATATTTTTATGTGATGCTTCAAACTTCAACTTCACAACATTTCAATACTTTGTTTGATTAATGTACTTTTTACTCCACTACTCCTTTATACATGACCCCTGTAGTTACTAGTTTTTAGTCTTGCAAGGCATTGCATACCCAGTTGTTTTCTTTTACCCAGGCTGAGTAGACCTCTAGTCAGGTGTAAGAAGAGAGAAGAGCTCTACTAATGTAACATAAGTAAAAACACCTGTGTGGGTGTGGAGGGGCTTTAAACTTTTATATACAAAATTATAATCACTTTATAAAGTCTTGTGGCCACCGTAGTTTGTCCCACACACTTCACAACCCATTCTTATTCACAGGTCATCAAATACAGACGCCAGCAGTGCTCAGTTAGTTGCAATCTGCAACTTAACCACTAGATGCCACTAAATCCTTCACACTGGTCCTTTAACTGTCTTGTGATATACTGTATCTTTACAGTTTACCTACTGCCTGTATTTTAATGTTTCAGTAGTAACAAAGAGTAGTTTTAGCATGTAGCATTACTAGTTTTGCTTAAGTAAAGCATCTGAATACTCTCCAACCACTGTTGGATCTCACAAACTCAAAAAAAATCAAATTTAAAAAATCAAATATCTCCCTCATATGAATACAATTGAACTGTCGCTGTTAAGTTTGCATTCAAACTGAAACTAGATGTCGTGGCAAACACTGGAAGTTCCGGCCATTTATTCATTACCATGAGTGAACTATTTGTCCACTGCCTTTAGCTTACTATTTCATCTCCTCTGCTCTCTTGCAAACCAGTTTTCATGCACTCTTAATTGCAATAACACATACATTAATTATTATAGCTGACACAATATGTGGATGTATTTTTTTTACAAAATAATTAATTAATTTCGGTTGTAGCGGCTGAGCTACTCTACAAGATCTCCTTTAATCCTCCTGACAACAGCAAAATATCTCCTGGGATACACACCTTGTTGGGAATCACAGAGTCGGTTAGCAACTAAGGAAAATGCTAGCTGGGTTCTAACTTTTTGGTAATTAACCACATACCGGTACATGTACTTGTTATATCTGAAAATAAATATGTGTTTGTATATCTTATAAGGAGCATTCAGGGTTGCTATATATTGTGTATAGAGGCTGTTCTGTTATGAATAAATGGGGGTACCATGTGGGAGAAAGGCTGAGTGATTCCATGTTATTTCAGCAGGACATTTGTCAACTTTAGAAATGTCAACCCGTCAATACAGCTGCTTCATCTCTCTGTCTCACTCTCTCACACA